ATGTTGTGTTTGTTCAGGATTTTGCCAATTTTATCTGTGACACCCTTTATGTATGGGAGGTAAGTGGTTNGTTTCTTTAAGTTTGTTGTTTGTTGTGGTGCTGGTGTATTTTGAGTGGTGGTAGAGGTTATTTTGATGTTTTTTAATTACTTTGTTTATTTGTTGCAGTGTGTAGCTATTTTGCTGTAGAGTGTTTTTTAATTCTTTGAGTTCGTTTTGAATGCTGTCTTTGTCGCATATAGTAAATGCTCTATAGATCAACGAGTTTATCACAGCTTGTTTTTGGGCTGGGTGATGATGTGATGCCGCGCGTAAATATCTATTGGTGTGAGTGGGTTTTCTATAGATTTGGTGGCCTAAAGAGCCGTCTGGTTTTCTTGTGACCAGAACATCTAAAAATGGAAGTTTACCATGTTGTTCTGTTTCTAATGTGAAGGTAATGTTTGAGTGTTGTTTATTGAGAAAGTCTAAAAAGTTATAGAGTTCTCTCTCTCTATGTTGCCAAATGACAAAGGTGTCATCTACGTACCGGTACCATGTTTGCGGCTTTAGTGGAGCTTTTTTGATGACCTGGGATTCGAAGTGTTCCATAAATATGTTTGCTATGATTGGAGATATCGGTGATCCCATAGCTGCACCTGTGATTTGTTTATAGAATTGGTTATTGTAAGTGAAATAGATTGTGGTCAGGCAATGTTCTACTAATGATATAAGGTCGGATGATAGTTGACCTAAAGATTTCATTATGTTAATGGTGTCATGGATTGGTACCTGCGTGAACAGGGACACAACATCAAAACTGACTAAGATGTCATTAGGTTGAAGTTTGATGTTTTTGATTTTAGAAATGAAGTCAGATGAGTTTTTTTTATCGTGGTGACAGTTTTACCCGTGAGAGGTTCTAGTTTGCTGACCAGGAAGCGAGGTAGATTGTATGTAGGTGAGTTCATAGCGCTTACTATGGGTCTGAGGGGTATGTTGTTTTTATGGATTTGTGGTAGTCCATATAGTCTAGGTGGTACCGCGTTTCTGGGTATTAACATGTCTGGGAGATTGTTTTTCTTAATGAGATTGGTGGTGAGTGTTTTTAGTGAAGCAGTAGGGTCTTTCTTAAGTTTTTCATATGTGGAGTCTGTAAGTAATGTCTGAATTTTAGTGTCATAATCTGTTTTATTTATGATCACTGTTGTATTGCCTTTATCTGGAAGGATGATAATATCTGTGTCTTGATTTAATTGTTTCAAAGCACAGCGTTCAGATCTAGTAAGATTATGAGTTGGCAATTTTGATTTATTCAGTATGTTAGCCACTAGTCTGCGGATATTGTTAGCAGGTTCTTGAGGAAGAAAGTGTATGGCTGTTTCTATATGACTAATTATTGACTCTTTTGGGAGTTTAGTTGGGGCTACCGCGAAATTGTGGCCTTTGGCCGAGGCTGAGAACGTTTCAGCAGAAAAGGTTTTATTGGACAGATTTTTTACCGTGTTTAGTAGTGGACGGATGGTAGTTTCCTGTAGTGCTAATTTCTGATATTTTTTCATCTGTTGTTGAGATAAGTGCAGATGTATGCGTTCTGCTTGTTCGTATGTTATACGGTCTAGTATAAGCTACAGATCTGGCCTAAGACAGGCAGATAGATGCAGATGGAGATGGAATAGTTTCTGAGAAATATGATAAATTTGATATTTTATATGGGAAATGCGCTCTTTCACTAATTGAAGACCGACTTTTTGCAAGATGTTGTTTGCTTTTTTTGTGCCAAAATGGTTTTTTATGTGAAGGAATTTTGGGATGATGTTATTGTCTCGACACCTTTTAAGAAAAGCTAAAGTTGCCAAGTGTTTTGATACGGAAGACCTGTATTTGCTAAAGATATTAACTTTAGATAGAATACTCTCCCCGTGGAGATACTTACTCTGATGTTTGACCAAAAAAAATTATGTTTGACCAAACCCAAGTACTAAACAAAACCAGGGCTTACTTCCCTAGAAAGTATATGGAATCTCTGGAGATATACAAACATCCAAACAATCTCAATAGAGACAATGGATATATGACTAGTTCACTATGGCATTCTATCTTGCCATAACACATCCTCCCCTCCTTCTTACCATTCCACCTCTCCTCCACCACACCCCCCTCCCACTCCAATCTAGCGTTATAAAAAGAGACACCTGACCAAGAGCATCTCAGTATCAGGCTGCTCTTTAAACCCTGATGAAGTGAGCTGTAATGTTCACGAAACGTCGGTATAAAAAATGACACTAACGCGGTTCAAACCCGAAAAAACATCTTTGTATGTTAATACTTACACCGCGAAAACATCAAATATCACAAATACATATGTTGTTATCAAGTAATAACGACAATGTAGTAATTTCCTAACAGTTATATACAATTTCATAAAAGCTATGTAACTGTTTTATTGCTGTAATATTGCAATAATTAGATAGATAGATAGATAACAAAAAGCAGGAGGCTTGTGAAACCCTATTGTAACCTAGATTTATAAGATCCTCTGCGACTCCCGCTAGTTTATCGACCAAGCTGCTAAAACCGGCATTTGCTGTCAGGCTACACAGATGGCCGATTTGAAGTATTTTCAGGTCCTCGGGCTCCACAAACATGGAGCCCAAGGAACTGAATTTCTTGAGTGCTAGAGACGGGCAGCGACAGAATATGTGCACGCTATCCTCCCTTTCTTCGCCGCAAAATCTACAATTACTCTCCTCAACTAGGCCTAAGTTGAATAGATGTGCCTTGAAGGCCCAATGCCCTCTGAGAAGACCAATACACAGTCTTTGTCTGTACTTACTCATTGTCAGTAGTTCTTTTTGTTGAGATTATGGGGAGTCGTAGGACTTGGTTGTAGAATGAGATTTTTACAAACTGTCTAAGTTTATTAGATATCACTTTTACAATAGTTTGTACAATTATCGCACGCTATTTCTGACTCTTAGCCGTTGCTATACTGCGGTAAACTCTCCGGATGNCTCCGGATGGACTCGGAGCCACACAGTATTCAACAGCTACTCACGATCTGCCTGTCGTTGCTCGCGATCGATCTTTTAAAGGAATCGATCGCGATCATTCAGCAGTTTAGCGACCTAATTACTACTGCACGTAGGCCGCTGACGTTGTGTGCTGTGTCTGTATCATACTTAACATTACGCTTAACAAGCAGATTTCATTTACAAAGAAATGCTGCTTGTTACCTTTTTAAAACAAAACCGGGTCGATTGAGCAATGATGCGTACTTACCGCAATTGCTCAATGGCCCGAACGAAATTAGAACTAAATTTCACAACATTTTGTCCTACCTGGCAATGGTTGAGTCATCAGGGCCTTAGCTTGGCGGCAGCTTTTCAGTATCTCCCAAGAGATCCTGTGCTCCTTTTTCAGCCAGTCCTTAATACGGTTTTTCCTTGTTGCAAAGGGAACTCCAACTATCTGGCAAACTGGTTCCTCTAAGGTATCCAGTTTTGCCAGACTATCAGCCACTTCATTGCCTTGGATACCTTGGTGGCCAGGTACCCAGACAAGCGTGATGTTTCGCTTGCCCAATCTGTTTGGAGCTTGCATACAGTCCCAAACTACTGAAGATTCAGTGGTGGTCTTGGCAAGAGCTCCTATGGCTGCTTTGCTATCCGTATAGATATTGATCTTCTTAGTTTTCGTTTCTCTTGAGAGTAGGAATCTTGCACATTCCAGAATGGCCAGGACTTTCGCTTGAAAGACCGTGGCCAGTTTACCCAGAGAGAAAAACTCTCTGTAATTTGATCCTGAACAGTAGATGCCTGCTCCATAGCAGCCGTTTGCTCCAGTTCCATCAGTGAACCATGCACGAGTGCCCGGTTAGATCTGAAGATTTCTGTTTTTCCAGTCTGCCCTGGTGGTCAAGTTTATGGAGAACGCCTTGTCCACTTAACGTATTCTGGATATTCTGTCTTGCTTTAAGGTAAAGGGAGGTTTATGAAGAAACTCGAGCCTGGTATGACCTACTCCGAAATCTCTTCACTCCCCTTGACACCTTAGTCTATATGCTGTGAGTTTGGCAGCGCTGAGATGATAGTCAACCTTAGAGATGGAATGCAGAGCGCCACTTCCAGCGCTTTTGTTGGTGTCGTTCTCATAGTCCCTACCGCAGCCCTCAAGTAATTACCTTGTAAGCTTTTTAGTAGATTCTTTGACTCCATCTTTTCCACTCTGGGCCACCAAACAACAGCAGCATCTGTTAACTTCGGTACAAGTACCGCTTTGTATAACCATAGGGTGGTATTTAATTTAATACCCCAGGATTTTCCCATTGCTTTTCTACACGCCCAGTATAAGGCGTAGAATTTGGATCTCTTTATATCGAGATGTGTTTTCCAATTCAATTTGGTGTCTAAGTGGACTCCCAAATATTTTGCTGACTGGACGTATTCTATATCTTCTTGCCAGAGTCTAAGCGGCTCAATGGCTTTAAGTTTGTATTTCCTGGTGAAAATCATGCTCTTGGTCTTTGATGGATTAGCCCTAAGTCCTTTTGATTGACACCAGTCTTGCGTGATCTTAAGGGCTTTTCCCATAGTCTCCTTAAGTATTTAAAGAAAATTGCCCCGCACTATAATGGCCACATCATCAGCGTAGCCAAAGGCAAAGAAACCTGTCTTCTGTAATTTTGATAAAAGTTCGTCCACGACCAAGCACCACAGCAGGGGAGATAAAATTCCTATTATTATTGTTATTTTTTAATTCTTCTACGATGTATACTTTGCGCTTATTCTTTATTTTTCTCATTAGATGTAAACTTTGTTACACTGAAGAAGGTCCAAACTTGTGGAGTGAAACGTTTGTGCTTTTTGAATAAAGACTATTATTTATACACGACCAACCTGTATCTTACTGCTCGTATCGGCCTTTTAACTATTTTGATAAAATTCTTCCCTGCGGGCATCCTTTGGCGGGAAAACCATGCACGTTTGAGTCCCCATGATTAGCAATCAGGGTTCTTCCTGTTAGCATGCTTTGTGTCCGTCTGCTAGTGCGGCTGGAATGTCGTGCCTGGTCATCGCCTCTCCGATTACATCATATGAGGTGCTATCAAAAGCTCCCTCAATATCCAGGAAGACGCCCAGGGCATATCCTTTTGCCTCCAATTGCCTCTCGATCCCGGTCACAAGGTGGTGCAAGGCAGTATCCGTAGATCTGCCCTCTTTGTAAGCATATTGGGAAGAGGCCAGTGGATATGTAAGCAAAGGTCCGTTCTTCAAGAATCCGTCGATCAGCCTCTCCAACGCCTAAAGTACGAAAGTGATAAGGTTGATTGGTCTGAAATCCTTGGCTGAAATATATCCATTTCTGCCAGGCTTAGGGATAAAGACTACTCTTGTACCACTCCAGGCCTGAGGAACATGTCTTAGAACTATACTTGCTCTAAAGATTTTAGTAAGTGGACCGATTAGTACCCCCAGTCTCTCCTGAAAAAGAACGGGATAGATACCGTCTGGTCCAGGTGCTTTATATGGGTGAAGGTCTTAATAGCCCATTCAACTCCCTTTGGATGAACAACCTCAGCTGCCAGACGCCACTTCCTGGGTTTATACAGGGTGATTCAGAACAACCCGTTATCCTTGAAAATACATGTTCTCGACTAAATTCTAAGACAACTTTTTATTTGGCAAAATTTTGTCTGAAGCTTACTTTTTGAGTTATTAATAAAAATAGTTGACTTACTACAATTCGGATGCAAGAGGTAGGCAGGGACGGCGCAACTTACCGTCAGAGACGCGGGCGATTATGTGTGGTGCCTGACGCGATCAGCTGATCGCTACGCATTGTTTCTGTATCTTTTTCTGTCTCTCTCTCTCTTTCTTTTTTTCTCTTACTTATTTATTTACTCATTTGCAATTTGTATCATTTAATCCGTGCATCACATAAATCACTGTCAATCACGATGAGTTGCGCCGCCCCTGCCTACCTTTTAAATCCGACTCATGGTACGTCAACTATTTTTATTAGTAACTCAAAAAGTAAGCGTCAGACAAAATTTTGCCAAATAAAAAGTTGTCTTAGAATTTAGTCAAGAATATGTATTTTTAAAGATAACGGGTTGTTCTGAATCACCCTGTATACCCTAGGCTTCGGCCGGCGAGGTTGTATGTTATTGTCAGAACCTGGGAAGTGGACTTCCATTAAATGTTTTAATGTGTCCGACGCCTCCTCAGTAACATTCCCCGTTGGAAACTTAAGACAGCCCAGTTGGGGACGGTGATCTAAGCTGAGAATTCTGGGAAGACTGGATGCCTCTGGGGCATTCTCAATGCTTTCACAGAAGTGTTTCCAGCTTTTGTACTTTGCTTTCTTGATTTCCTTGCTGTACTTTTGTTGGGAGCTTCTGAAAGCTTCCCAGAGTGCTACAAGTCTGGTTCTTTTTGCCTTACTGAATTTCCTCCTCGTTTCCAACCTGAGCTTTTCAAGCTCTTTGTTCCACCAGTGGATCTTAGTCACCGGGCTCTTTGGTTGTGGTGGGCAGTTTAACTCGTAGGCATTTGCAATGGCGTTCTTTAAGAAGTCCGCCGCATTTTCTAAATTATTTTTGGTCCTGAAACTGGTTGGGGCCTCAACGAGGTGCGCCTTAAGATCAGCCCTAAAGCTTTCTCAGTTGGTTTTTTGTGAGTTACAAACCCAGCTGATTTGCGGTAGTTGCTGAAGAGTTAGGCGTATTTGTCTGTGATCAGAGCCAGAGGGCTCATCCGAGACCCTCCAGTCGTTCAACAGACCCGCCACCCTCTCCGTACAAACCGTGATATCAATGACTGGAGTCCAGGAATGTCGGCTTGTTTTCTCTGTTAAGAATGGTTAGCCCTGTGCCCACTAGGAAGTTATGCAGACTCTCCCCCCGCGGGTTGATGTTTGCACTTCCCCATCCTACATGATGAGAGTCCGCATCACAATCCAGCAGGAGTTCAAGCCTCCTGGCCTCCGCATAGGCTACCAGGGCTTTTACCTCTTTCGGTGGTGAATTGTCCATGGAATCGTAGGGCATATAGACTGACCCTATGAGTACCTCCATGTCCTTTTCCTTGGCTAGCTTTACTCTCACCTTGATGACTGTGAGGTCCTCGCTGCTGAGCTGTGACAGAAAGGTAGCATTTAGTCCTTTAACCACTATGCAAGATCTTACTTTTTTTTTCGAGTGTGCTTTGTATAAACAGCCACACCCACTCAGATCTCTTATTGCACCGTTTACAATCCAAGGTTCTTGGATTAGTGCAATACTTGTATGCATCACAGCCATGCTCCTGGCTAAGATAGCCGAGGCGCTTTTGCTGTGGTGCAAATTAATTTGGGTCATTTGGATGCCGGGAAGAGCCATTTTTAGGCAGTCTCGACATCCTCCGACGCCTTTTTCTTCTCAGTCGCCTCTCCACGTTTCCGTTCCGCCACCTTAACGGCGGCTCGGCCGAGACCGAGAAAAGGCCTGAAGCCACAGTGCTTCAAGGCTTCCAGTGCCGAGTCGCCAACCAGGCAAGAGAAGTGGGCGCTCAAGGCGTCCCTACTGTACGTCCCCTTATTGACGACCCCTTCACTGGTTGCCAGCCCTGTGTTCTGTTGGTTGAGAAGCTTTAGAGCCTCCTCAACATCTATTTTAGGTTCCTCTACATGCACCACCACCCGGCGTCGCCTAGGTAGCTCACCGACCGGCAGCACACGCAGAGGAATTCCCCTGACTTTTGCCTCGGGGGAGTGGACCTTAAGCCACTTTGCCGACTCTTTATTGGCGCATACGACAATGAGTGCGCCATCCCTTTCCCAGGAACCGGTGAAGGTGGGGGCTTTGTCATTTTCGGACATGCCGAAAATGAGTCCTGATCAGTTTCCTGATCTCAACCACCTCATCGGTTTTTCCTATCTTCTTGTCAGGGTTGCCGTCCAGTACGAGGGCCATCCTAACCAGTCCTATTATCGCCTGTGCATACGATCCCTCATTTTTGGATTTCTTGCCCTGGCGATTTTCTAAAGGGCTGGGAGTAGTGTGCTCCGGCCTGGCGCGCTTTGCCGCGCCACCCGAAGCTCGCCCATCCCCAGCTCCACCTTTTGAGCAAAAGGCTGCGGGGGTAGAGAGGGCCTTATTGGCCTCACTCTCCCCGGCTAGCATCTCTTTATTATAACGGCGCCTAGCAGCCCTGCTATATCTTATGCGGTATTTTGGGGCTTCTGAGCCCGCTCCCGCACTGCAAGATTCCCCTGGGCGTTTACCTCTAGAGAAGGCTTCGCCCTTGGAGACTGATTTGAGGATGATTGTATTTTTATTAAATCCATTTTGTTCCCACGAGTATCGCGGTCGCGCGGTCTCACCCAGCCAGAGCCGCAAATGGCTGGGGCTTGGCTCCGTACTCCTGGATTTCGCTCGGTATCCAGGAGGCACCGTTCACGACGCAACTCCCTTTGCGCCACGCAGCTCTCGGCACGGTCGCTCACACCTTAACTTGAGGGGTTCCTTTTAGTTGGTCACAGACGGGCCTATCCCTGAGCGGATGACCACCGCCCGCGATCTTAAGCCCCACCACTCGCTCCGGCGCGAGAGCCCACAGCCCCCGAGGACACCAGATGCTCACTTTCTGTGGTCAATTGTCCCGTCAGATTACACTTCCATTGTGACGACACGACCAGGCAGATCCGCCAGCGTCCAGAGAGGAACTGATAATCAATGCCCGGCCACGCCGCCACCAGCACATGCTGGGAACAAAATAACGTTCCGTGTAGTTACTGCGAGACGGCCAGACCACGTGCGCACCGAGCGCTCCGCGAGCCCCGAGCTCCCGCCTCGGAGCTACTACAAGGTGGGAACCCATTCGGGGGGTTGCAATAATTATATATTGATAAATAATGTTACATAACAACAATGTTGAGTTCAGATAACATTTGTTATGTAACATATTTCATATCACTTATATTGCTGTTACAATGTCATTGCCAGGTAATAACAAAGCAATATAATAGATATATAACACAATTATGTTACAAGTATAAAACAAAGTTATATAACATCGATGTTAATAGAGTATAATAGCTGTTATATTACGTATATTACGCTGTTACTTCTATGTTATATAGCAGTTATATTCTGTGTTTGCTGGGTACTTTCTACTCAGTTAGCCAAATCTATCGGTTGCAGATTTTACCAAATGCTTACACTAACTTTTGATGTCAAATTGTTCTCAAATTGCAAACATTTTTTGCGTAGAAAAGAAATGATTACAATATGTCATCAGATTTGATATTTGATGCTTTCACGGTGTATAGTATTAACATACAAAGATGTTTTTTCGGGTTTGAACCGCGTTAGTGTTATTTTTATACCGACGTTTCGTGAACATTACAGCTCACTTTATCAGGATTTGAAGATACTATCAGGCTGCTCTTCAAACCCTGATGAAGTGAGCTGTAATGTTCACGAAACGTCGGTATAAAAATGACACTAACGCGGTTCAAACCCGAAAAAACATCTTTGTATGTTAATGTCATCAGATTGATAACAATTTTTATCAAATATTGGCATCAAAACCAGTGTCATCAACAGGATCATATTTTGTAGACAACGTCTGCTAAGCAAAATCCGATATCACCTTTAAAACAAATTGGGAACAGAACTTGCAAAAAACATTTAAAAAACATTTCTCTACAACATAATAAGATAAAATGACAGCAGATTGGGAGCAGCAATTGCGGATAAAGAATAACAAGCAAATCTGCGCAACGCAATCAGATAACAAATAGGCAACAGATTGCAAGCAGAGTCTGTCAGCTCTGCAACAATTTGATGGCCACTTGATAACAGATTGCGAGCAAAGTCTGCAGATACAGATTAACCAACTGTCTACGCAGCGCAATCAGATAACAAATTGACAACAGATTACGAGCAGAATCTGTCGGTTTTACAGCATTTAAATGGGATTTAAATTTACACTACTACTTTCAGCCTTTATGAATTTTGTTTATTTTATAAATCTTATAAATAAGCAATTTATAGCAATAAGCAGTTTATTTGTTAAATTTTATGACTTTACAACATTGAAGTAGTTTTTGTCATAACAATATTTCTTTTATATATACACTTTATATCTAACAAAATATATAGAAAATATAGTTTTGTGTGTGAGAATGTGTGTTTAAAGTATTATTTGTTTAATACAAAAATAAAATATTTCTATATCTAAATATATTTAATTTTCCTCGCTTTCGATAATTGGTGGTGGTCTTCTCTTGCTGATCTCGTTACTCCATTGATTAAGATCTAAACATACAAAAAACAAAAGTAAAATTCTAAATACGTATATTGTTACATATTATTTTTTAAATGTTAAAAATTGTGGCATGAAAAAAGTGCCAATAAATAATTGAGAAAATCATTAGGTTTTGTCAACCTTGTGAAATTTGGCACTAAAAAGTGCTGGTTAATTATTGCAACAAGCAAAAGAGAGATACTTCGACGTATGATAATTAAAAATGAGTACTGAAAAGTGCTGTTGTGCCTTCTCTCGTAAAATCCGTAATCAGATCACACAATGAAATTAAGATAACAATGGATTCCCACTCGAATCCCAAAGAATTCGTTGAATGCCAAAGTACTTTCAATTTCAATAGCACAGATCTGATACGTGCTTTAAAGGAGATTAAAAATTAACCCCTTCATGGGTTTCGGGATTTTGTATCATTACAGATGAGGTTTGGTTACTTCCCCCACCAAGGATTTCAAGAAAGGATTGATAATCTTCTTCTGTTTTTTTCTAAAATCTCAGAATCACTGCTTTTATTTAACTCAAACTTCCTTTTAGAAATATTTTCTTGACTTTTATTTTTATTGTTATTTTCTTCTTTAATTTTATCTTTTCTCTTCGTTAATTCCGCGCATCTTTTATTTTTATATGCATTAGATTTGTCGTTATATAAGGCGTTTTTATTTTTGCCAAATGAATATTCATTATTACGAATTTCGTTTGATGTAACCTGAGAGGATCCGGTCCTTACTAGGTCACTGTCGGGGTCTGTTTTATGGGTATTTAACAGTCCGTCTAAGATATAAAGTCGGAACTCGGACTTCGACTTCGTTGTCTCGCGACATTCAAATAGGCTTTTCCGGACACGTTCTCTACTATGGTATCTCCTATACCGTGCGTTAGTTTTAATTTTGGCAAATACCCAATCTTAATTTCAGGATACTCTATTCGAACATAAAATGAAGAATTCCGTTCGCGGTGCTACTATTACAGTCTCTTGAGAAAAGAAAGATATTTTAATTCCGGAGATATCTAAATGTTCTTGCGTGTAATCTATTTTAGTATTATTTTGATTAAAAAATTCGTTTCCAAGTATACCGTCTTGTGATATCGGAAAGTCGTCTGCTACAATATGAAATTTTACAGGTATTTCAAATGGTGTTAGAATGATTTCGCCGTAAGTACCCAGACGGCACAATGATGTATTTAAGATGTCTTGAAGATATTTCACAGAGACTTTGAATGTGCAAAAGATATCTCGTTGAGACATTTTTGAACGCGAGTAATGATGTTCAAATAATATCTCAGGGATATGCCTGAGACTGCTAATGTCCACATCAAAAACATGCAAATGATATCTCTTGCAAAAGTTTTAAAAATGAGGGGAATTTCGAGATTTCACTCGAATTAGTTTTTGAAGGCCT